GTATTGATGAATGGCAAGTCTTGCCATTTGAAACAACATGTAGCCACCTGTGCAATTCACAAACATGTCCAAGATCTTCGTGATGGAATTTAGGAGGTCCTTTAATCAGTCTAACATTTTTTTTATGTTGATAAATGTTGATGTTTAAGTTTCACTTCTTCTCATAGAGCCAAGTCCCTCATTGGCAAAATGAGACCTCTGCTTCATCAGACAACGGGTTAGTAATGATCCAGCTCTAATAAACCATCTCCCACTAGATGCAAACTCCAAAACCAGTGAATTGTGGCTCTCAAAAAATGGAGACCCAAACAGCTAACACTGGGCCTACAATGGAACTGCTTCACAGACATGCTGGATTAAAAGAACAGATCGATCATTTACTATCAGCCTTGACGTGAAATATATACAAGGTGCTGGCAAACCAATATAATCCTCTGAGCTATATAACCCCTTTCACAACAGGTGCAAAGATTCTAGTACGGGATCTTTGGAAGCAGGAAAGAGGATTGGATAACATCATCAAAACAGGAGAAATGGCAAGCATGGGAATTGGAGCTGCAAAATCTCTGTGACATTCACTTTCCCCACTGTCATCTGCCTCCCTGTTCTGACACAGCCCCCTCAGAATCCCATCTGCATTTATTCTGTGATGCTTCTGAGCTTGTGATTTTTAGTGCTGTTGCATACATTTAGACTAAAGACAAACACGACCACATCCATGTCAGTTTCATCATCGCCAGGTCTCCTATAGCCCCTAAAAGCCAGCTATCTATCCCTTGACTTGAACTCTGTACAGCCCTATCTGGCGCTCTGGACAGAGGTCAGTTAGACAGTTATCAAAATAAGCACAGGTTTAGTAAAACCGCAGCTAAACTCTCAGAAAATGTAAATAAATCAATTGGTTTCGTCACTTACTGCTAGGGACATGATTTAGAAAAAACACTTTAACAATATACAGAGCTTGATTTGTCATCTATAGTTAAAGTTGCTTTTGATATCACAATAATTAAATGATATTAAAACAATTATTTGTGTAAGTGTGCTTGATTGTTTTCTGGGACTTACAGCTGACTGAACAGTTCAAGACAAACTGACCTCATTTCCTCTTTTACCACTCAACGTGTTGTAAATTGCAGCAGTTTTTATACATATATTAAAATGGCACATATTGGCATGTCTAACCCTGCAGTTCAAAACTGCTACTGTTATATCTCTCACTGATAGGTTGGAATGGTAAATGGACTGTACTTGTATAGGGCTTTTCTAGTCTTCCGACCACTCCAAGAGCTTTTACACTACATGTCATCATTCACCCATTCACACCTATTCATACACTGATGCTAATGCAAATGGCCCACCTGCCCATCAGGACTCTTAACTAACATTCACACCCCTTAATAGACCGCAGTCACAGCCTATGGGAGCAATTTGAGGTTAAGTGTGTTGCCCAAGGACACATCGACACGGACTACCACTGAGCCACAGTCGACTGGAATTGAATATCCAGAAATGCAGGTCTGAAGCAGCTGGCACTGCAGTTCTACAAGTATTTTGTATCAAAGACACTATTTGTCCTTGTTTGATTCATCACATGTGTATATCTATCTATTCATTTATGTAAAAAACAATCACTATAAAATAAATGGGGTCCAGTTAACAAAAAGAAAATGCGGATAATGATTAAATAATCACTGATGTAAAAGAGACAATCACTCAAAAACTGTACATAGTTGGAACACTGCTCAGCCTACTCGCCCACCTGTTCATCAGAATACATTTTACCTACTGATGCCAACTGAAAACTGGTTTGATTGTTGCAAGGGTGTGGGTTGGTTTCAACAATGGTGGGGACACATATTTAACAAGGATCAGGGGGCCAAAATTTGAGTGTCAAACACTTCATTTTCTGCGTCAATTTATGGTAACAGTAAATTCAGGCGACAGGTGAAAATTGAAAATATAAAAATATGATGGAACATAATGCAGTAAGGCTCTCAGGCATTCTGTCATTAATTTCTTTCAAATATTTATTTTCCTGTAGATAAACTTTTCTCATTTAATGTTATCTCTGCCAAGTCAACACACAGCCAATAATTTACTATTCCCTCCTTTTTGTGTCTTTAACCTCTTTAAATGTGCATGAGGCTCCTATTTCCTTAATGGTACATTAATTAATTTATAATCCTCTGGTTTCTAATAGCGCATATGTGTTTCAGCAAGATTTCTGGTTCAACACTTCCTTCACATTCAAAACATATCCCATATATCTATGTTCCCTGGGAAGTCGAGAATAGTTGTAATATTTAGAGAATAACACTGTACGAGAATAAAGTCGTAATAGAAAAAAAATCTACCTGCCCTATCAAACTGAATCTAACAGAAAACATTTTTGATAAGATATAAACCTCACTATTGTGTGTTTTATTGTCCACACAAATGTTGACTTCACCACCTCTAAAAGTGGTGGCTCAATCCAACTGATCATAAACATTCAAACCAGCTGTAAGCCAGCTCAAATCTTAAGTCAAATTCCATTCAATATTTCAGTAAGATTACTTGTTTGGGTTGAAGATTCACAATGTATTGAAAAGATGGGGCAGCTGGAGTATCGTTACGGTTACAGACACAAATGAGGAAGGCCTAAGAAGAGTAAAGAAGAGGGACTGTGATACGCAAACAAACACAACACAGATAAAAAAAGCTGTGCCAGAGTCTCAACCTGTCATCTTGTAGCAGTATGACGGAGGTATATAATGAATGTTTCCAGACATCAAAGCAGAGTGCTGCTTGGTACTCTTCATTGCTTTAGAACAGCCTTGATAGCAGCGTCAGTGTCATCTGTAGTGGTCTCCATTGTTGTTATTATTACTACACACAGCTGACAATGCTTAATAACGGATTGCCAACAACTTCACAACAGCTTGACTATGACCTTAGTCCCACCCCTGGTGCTGATTGGCTAATCGTTAGTCCCCCTATTGTGCTTATTCGTTGATTACTTTTTATTAGTGGACACCGCTGTTTCGATGTCACTAGCCAGACGAATCAGAATACTCAAACTCTGTAAAGTTCAAAGGTCTGGACCCAGGCAAGTTTGATTGTGTTCCAATAGAAAGAAATCAGGTATTTTGTATATACAGTGGGTACGGAAAGTATTCAGACCCCTTTAAATTTTTGACTCTTTGTTTCATTGCAGCCATTTGCTAAAATCAAAAAGTTCATTTTATTTCTCATTAATGTACACTCAGCACCCCATCTTGACAGAAAAAAACAGAAATGTAGAAATTTTTGCAAATTTATTAAAAAAGAAAAACTGAAATATCACATGGTCATAAGTATTCAGACCCTTTGCTCAGTATTGAGTAGAAGCACCCTTTTGAGCGAGTACAGCCATGAGTCTTCTTGGGAATGATGAAACAACCTTTTCACACCTGGATTTGGGGATCCTCTGCCATTCTTCCTTGCAGATCCTCCAGTTCCGTCAGGTTGGATGGTGAACGTTGGTGGACAGCCATTTTCAGGTCTCTCCAGAGATGCTCAATTGGGTTTAGGTCAGGGCTCTGGCTGGGCCAGTCAAGAATGGTCACAGAGTTGTTCCGAAGCCACTCCTTTGTTATTTTAGCTGTGTGCTTAGGGTCATTGTCTTGTTGGAAGGTGAACCTTCGGCCCAGTCTGAGGTCTAGAGCACTCTGGAAGAGGTTTTCTTCCAGGATATCTCTGTACTCGGCCGCATTCATCTTTCCTTCAATTGCAACCAGTCGTCCTGTCCCTGCAGCTGAAAAACACCCCCATAGCATGATGCTGCCACCACCATGCTTCACTGTTGGGATTGTATTGGGCAGGTGATGAGCAGTGCCTGGTTTTCTCCACACATACCGCTTAGAATTAACGCCAAAAAGTTCAATCTTGGTCTCATCAGACCAGAGCATCTTATTTCTCATAGTCTGTGCGGGCTATGCGGGCTTTCATATGTCTTGCACTGAGGAGAGGCTTCCGTCGGGCCACTCTGTCATAAAGCCCCGACTGGTGGAGGGCTGCAGTGATAGTTGACTTTGTGGAACTTTCTCCCATCTCCCTACTGCATCTCTGGAGCTCAGCCACAGTGATCTTTGGGTTCTTCTTTACCTCTCTCACCAAGGCTCTTCTTCCACGATTGCTCAGTTTGGCTGGACGGCCAGGTCTAGGAAGAGTTCTGGTCGTCCCAAACTTCTTCCATTTAAGGATTATGGAGGCCACTGTGCTCGTAGGAACCTTGAGTGCTGCAGAAATTCTTTTGTAACCTTGGCCAGATCTGTGCCTTGCCACAATTCTGTCTCTGAGCTCCTTGGGCAGTTCCTTCGACCTCATGATTCTCATTTGCTCTGACATGCACTGTGAGCTGTAAGGTCTTATATAGACAGGTGTGTGCCTTTCCTAATCAAGTCCAATCAGTTTAATTAAACACAGCTGGACTCCAATGAAGGAGTAGAACCATCTCAAGGAGGATCAGAAGAAATGGACAGCATGTGAGTTAAATATGAGTGTCACAGCAAAGGGTCTGAATACTTATGACCATGTGATATTTCAGTTTTTCTTTTTTAATAAATTTGCAAAAATTTCTACATTTCTGTTTTTTTCTGTCAAGATGGGGTGCTGAGTGTACATTAATGTGAAATAAAATGAACTTTTTTGATTTTAGCAAATGGCTGCAATGAAACAAAGAGTGAAAAATTTAAAGGGGTCTGAATACTTTCCGTACCCACTGTATAACTACAGGTATATATTTAAACATACAGACAATTTACAAGCTTGTTTACTTGTATTTTGAAATGGACATAAAATGTATACAACTTCTACAATACCACATCTTGAACATAAAAATAATATAGAGAAACAAACTTTAACATGCAAAATGTTTTGGGTTGCATAAATCACAGATATCTAGAACAGGTACACAGCATAAGAACTGTTAATTGAGCATGCTCCAATCCAAGAACAGATATAATAGGAAATATACATACTGTAAAAGCTGGCCATTACATAGTTTTGGCAGCGATCCCCAGTAAATTCATTTGGACACCTGAGCAGGAAACAAAAGAAACAAGCAACAAGAGCGAAGGAGTTAATTTATACAAGAGCTGTGCAAAACCCACGACAGTCATCACTGGTGTTGGCAGGAAGGGCCAGCTAGACCAAAATGTCTAGCCATAGTCTGTGAGTTTATCAACCATCTCTGACCTTCATACACAAGTACATTGGATTATAATCCTCAGTTTAGGGTATCTATCTCATATAGATGAACAGTTCTATTTTGCACACGCCCTCCATCAAACTCTTTATAGGTTTGAAATACTGTCTTAGCAGTAGACTGAAATTTGCATGTACTAATGCAGCCACTCATGACAAGTCTAGTCTTGCCTGTAATATAAACCAATATAAAAGGTGTCATGACCCCATCCAAATAGCAAAGTAGACCAAGATGCATGGCAGTCATACAGGATGGCAATCTCTTAGTCATGATGTGCCAGCAGCCCAGCCAGTGATCCCCTGGGTCTCCTGTATGTACAACACATTCTCACTCCCAACTCGTCAAATAGCGTCACTTGGTCAGTGCCCCTTGGCATCAGAGATCAACGCACTAGGTACCCCTCTAGCATTAGTTTTCAACATTCCAGGAAGGCATGCCAATATACGCTCATTATATGCATAGTGTCGTTTCAAAATAGGCTACCGTCTTCACAGGAAGTTAGGTTTAGGCAAAACAACCAGTTAGTTATGTTTAGGAAACGAGTCTGGTTGACGTTAATTTGACTCACTGGCAGCTCACGTCACCGAGTGACTGACGACTCATTTGACTAGCTACTCACGTGACTAATGACACTAACGACTCACATGTTTAACGACACAGGGGACAAAATGTCAATATTTACTTTCAGTTTCACACTTGACACAAACACCAGTCTCCTGGATGTAAGTCCTGTGTTTGTTTGACCCATCCACTACCACTCCCGTCAACCCAAAGCAGACTCTCACTCACTTAATACTACGTCACATGCTCTTACAGTCCACTAATGCCACAAGAAGCTTAACATTGGAGTAAGTTCAATGCCCAGTGCGATGCATGGAGTCGCTAGAGAGGGCCTCCATACATCAATCTCCGATGCCACAGGGAAATTACCAAAGTAGTATTTGACAATTTAGGAGTGAGAACCGATTGGTTTGTAAGATGTTTTTTAACAACTGAGTTTGGACTTGAAACATCAAAATCATCACTGCTTTACCAACCACACGTTGGTCAGTCTAGTACTGGACCATTGAAAAAACCCGGGGATGCAGGGAATACCTGTTATGAGAGTGTTCTCTAGGGGGATGAGGGCTGAATGGGGAGAGCAGTAGATAGTTTGTCATACCTTCAGACAAGACAGGCTACTTCAACCATAGACAGCATGGATAGGGTGTGATGAGATGTGAAGTACATGCACATTTTAGTGCACTACTCCACAGGAGAGTGTGCTTGAGACTTTAGACCCGTTTAGAGGGCTTCCCTTGAGCTCACAGAAACAGAATTACAGCAGGTATAATGCCTAGCTTATCATCAGATTTGTATCCCTGAATATAAGGGAAACATGGATTTCTCCACCAATTCTTGGAGAAAACATGACGGGTGAAACACCAGCAATGACATGTGGGATTGATTACAGCTGTGATCACATACGTTTTGGGTCTGAGACTTTCTTAAGCACAGCTTGTTCACATCGGTGCCCAGTGAATCCAGCCAAGCACCTGGTTGATGGAAAGGAAAAAGATAAAAAGTACTGACATACAACATACAAGACATGAGAACACGTGCACAAACACAAAGACAACCAGTCGTATGAAGGCAAATCACTGTCAAAATCCGAGAGCGCAAATGAGATCCATGAGCGCGTGAAAATCAAACAGCCGCGCACGTATTTTACATCACTCCGCAAGCAAAATTCCGTCTCAAGGCAGGTTTAAGCTTCGCGAGCGACTTTTACTCACGCGAGAGTGAATTCTGCTGGTGCGAGACAGAATTTTGCTCGCGGAGTGATGTAAAAGCGCTCGTCAAAGTAAAATACACAAATCCTAAAATAAACTATTTGATTTCTATTACATTTATTTAAAAATAAATATTTGTGTGTGCATCAGAAATATGTTTGAGCATGTTATTATATATGTGGATTTCGTTTGTATTTCTAATAATTTTTTTGTTTGCATTAAAATATTTTGTGGAGTTATTTATATATGAACCACAAAATACATTTGGGAATCCTTCTGTGTGCATTCATTTATACTGAGACTGATTTGACCCCATAAGACAGAGTTGGATCTTTTTAGGAGAAGGGAAGGTGTGTGCTATGATTCTCCATTATCACAGAGTATTCTTACACTGGGAATCATGACCCAAAGACCCTCTCCATGTTTTGCATGCTTACTAATTTAGGCTCTCACCTATGTGTCAGTGGACATTCGCAAGAGGTTTGTCTTCATCTACACCTCAGCAGTCCTCAAAGATTGCAGTGGCAAACACTTGTAATACCCATGCTCCTATTTGGTATTACCTTTTTAAATTAGTTTAATTTAGGAAATTTTGTCAGACTTGTGTTACAGAGCACAGTGCAGATAGATGCTGTCATACAAATATCTTTTTGCTTTCAGAAGAGCTGAGGAGTAAAGGAAGACAATCCTCTTGGGAAAGCCCACCGACACATGTGTATTTTGAGAGCCATGCAAAACAGAAGCTTGTATCAAGCATAGAGATGGGCTCTCGACCATACAATGGCACCCATTCCCTGTGTAGGACTGCCGTCTATGGTAATGGAGAATCCCATCACCACAACCTCCATTCTCTGAAATCCACCGCTGTCCTATGAACCCAATGAAACTTTCTCTCAAATTCATGCATGGAGCTTGATGCTCTTGACATTTCTTTGACTCACTGGAGTCAATGGGCCTGATGCAAGAACCACTTGCGCAAACACATGTGTTCTTAAGTGTTACGTATGAGCAATCTTTTTGAGGTACAAACCAAAATACTAAAATCACACTCAGCCTTTCTCCACTGGGTAAAAAAACACTTGTTTGAAAATCCTCTCAATGAATTTGGAGTTTAAATACAGTACAGTAATCAATTAAAATACATAACTATGACAAACTGAATATAAAATTTGTATTCTATTTACCATATAATTATTATGGCTAGCCTATTTACTGAAAGTTTTTTGATTTTATGATTTTATAGGCATAAAACTGCACATAAACTTCTGCAATCAAGTATACTGTATGTTAGGAAAGTTCTCTCACTTCAACAGCTAATTCAGGACTTTCATGCAGGTCACTGTCTAGTATTTTCAAAGTGAGATTCAGTATTGGTGAAGTCAGTTCTATCAAAATGCCTCCGCAAGGGTCAGGTAATCACTCCTAAACCTGATCCCCCAAGGAATAAAAATGCTCAGCAGTCAATATTATAATTTTAAAGCATTTGTAGGTGAAAAGCCAAGTCATTAATCATGGTCAATGATACATAAGTGTAGTTGTTCAGCATACTTGACAACTTTCAGACATCATGGCCTGAATGATGCTGATTAATTGGAGTTCACTCTCTCCAAGAATCGCCACCTGAATGTGGTGGAGGGGTTTGCGTGTCCCTGTGACCCTGGGAACTGTATTGTTTGGGTCAATAGCTCCTGGTAGAGTCTTCCTAGTCAAAATGGTCCCAGGGGAGGGGCCAGACTAAGAGCAATTCACAGACCCCATATAAATCGACAAAAAAGCTGCAGCACCTGGCAAAGAAAAGTGAAACTCCAGCACCTGGGAAAGGGGCTCGCCAGCGAGCATCTGGTGGCCAGGCCTTCAACCATGGAGCTATGCCAGGCATAGCCCCAAAAGACAACATGGAGCAACTGCCCTGTGGGCCTAACGCTTCTTGTGTTGGGTGTATTGGGTGGCAGGCAACAGTGGAGAACTAAGCATGTCACCTCTCTGGCGGGAAAGGAATTGGAGCTGGTGTGGGAGTTGGAGATATAGATATATTTGGGCTCACCTCTACGTATAGCATTGGTACTGGAACCAAACTCCTGCAAAGGGGCTGGAGTTGCGTTTTCTGGAGTTGCCCAGTTTGAAAGTTCCAGGTAAGGTGTGGGGATACTCGTGAGCCCCAAGCTGAGCGGCACACCCCAGGGAATGAGAAGGTCGCCTCCATGCGACTGCAAGTCACTGAGAGACAGTCTCTGACTGTTGTTTGTGCTTATACACCAAAAGCAGCTTAGTACCTGGTCTTCCTGGAGTCTCTAGGTGGTGTCTGGAAAAGGATACCGTCTGGGGACTTTATGGTTCTACTTGTGGACTTGAGCGCCCACTTGGACAATGATGGCGAAACCTTCAGAAGAGTGATTGGGGCGAATGGCTTGCCTGATCTGAAACCATCCATTCATCCATTCATCCACCCATCCATCCATCCATCAATCTTCTTCCACTTATGCGATACTGGGTCGCAAGGGCAGCAGGATTAGGAGGGTATTACGGATGTCTCTCTCAACAGCGAGGCTTTTCAACTCTTCTTGGGGAACCTCAAGGGATTCCCAGGCAAAAGGAGATATGTAATCCCTCCATATCTAGGTTCTGGGTCTACCCCGGGGCCTCTTACCAGTTGGATGGCCCAGAAACACTCTAAAGGGCGTCAAAGAGGCATCTTGATCAGATGCGTGAATCACCTAATCTGGCCCCTTTCGACACAAAAGAGCAGCGGCTTGACTCCAAGTGCCCTCCGGATGTCTCAGCTCCTCACCCTTCTCTAAGGCTGAGCCCTGCCACCCAACGAGGGAAGCTCCACTTGTATCCATGATGGGTCAGTACCCAAAAAATTAGACCATGGATACAAGTATGGGTACAAACTCTAACGGAGATGGACTGGTAAATCGAGAGGTTTCCCTTCCGGTTCAGCTCCCTCTTGTTATTGGATGTCTGTGCTAGTCATGGATTGGCCATAACAAACACCATGGTCGAGCATGGGGTTATCGAACAAGGCACTCCTATGGTTTGTATGAGATGCACTGGGCTTTCAAGTAACAACAAGTAACTATGTAAACCCATGCACGTCATGCTTAGAGAAAAGGCTTCGGGAGTGAGATGACGTAGAATATTGACCAAACAAATACTCATAGGGTGGGTGAGTAAAACAAACACAGGATTTTCAACCTACGCCTATATGTTCCACTGCGTAAACGAAAGACATATATATTTCTGTCGTAATAACAATTTGAATTGGATCAGTTGAATTTTAGTTTGTGGTGATCAGCAGAATGCTAATGCTATCCTGGGTGCAGGATAACACCTGTAGACTATATAGGGGTGAAAGTGAAACTAACTAGTGGGCATCACTGGCATCTTCTTTATTTAGCACAACCACACATTAAATGCATTGAAAAGTATAATATTGATGTACTTAATTTTGGATTTTCTGTGTTCTGCTACATTATAGTTCTACTCTACTACATCACAGAGGGAAATATTGTATTTTTTACTGTACAACATTCATCTGATCGATTTAGTTAATTTACAGACTCAGATTATTAAAACAAAATATTATCAACTAATAAATAATGTATTTTTATAGAGTAAACTACCAAGCAGTATACGAAGTAACTATAAAGTGTTTTACCTTTACCAGCTACAAAATTAAAGTGATGAACAGATTGATGCATCAATAAAATACAGCAACAATATATATATTATTCTGCATAATGAGTACTGTCTGTCTTTTTCTCTCTCCACTGTGACTTTTAGCTAAGGGTGTTTCACCGCCGTAATGAAAAGTAATGTTATGCAAAGTGAGGTTTGTAAAATATGATTAAACGGCACCCAGTCTATTTCATATTATAGATTATACTAAATTGGCTAACCTCCTCTTAGTCCAAAAGATTCTTCTTCCTCTTTTTTCACATTCAATTTTTTGGGGGGGGAGTTTTTCTTTTTTTCCGATGCAAGTGTCCCAAGGACTGAGGATGTTGAATGCTGTACAGATTGTAAAGACCGCTAAGGCAAATTTGTGATTTTAGGCTATACAAATACATTTTTTTACCTTTTATACTGCCTGCTGACTCCTCACTCACTACTCTTAACCATCCCTCAGCCAGTAGGGGCCTCTAGTGATGACACAGCTGACTTCCAGCCACTACTACAGTGGGGAAAACAGTTTTCTCCCTTTTGTTGTTTTACACGGTGTGTTTGGCAGTTGGCAGCTACCAGAACTAACAGTCCACACTGCTGAGTACATCACCACTGTACATAGAACACACCGTGTAAATACGTTGATACGTTTTAAGTTTGTTTTTTGGCAAGATTGTATGGCATGTCTTAAAGGATGGCTTTAAACCGATTGCCTGCAAACATTGCTGCTTGTTTTAAGTTTGTGAGTTTGTGAGAATGAATTGTATTCTACAAAGGCCATTGGTGTCCAGACGCAGAGATAGACAATTGTGGGTTGTATGCATTCAATCACACAATACAGCAGCAGTCGATGCAGACACGGCTGGTGGAGATCTGCACACTGAGGGCACCTTTCTATTGAGTGTCTACTTCAGCTTACGATTCTAACAATATATGTTTGGACTGTTTGGATAATGTCTCTGTCCTAGCCACTGATTAAAGTCTTATCTGATGACATATAACAATCACAAAATCCCTGATCACTACACAGAAGTTATAGACCTATAATGAATTACTTTGTTTTAAGCATGGAATAAAGATTACATTACGTTGGCATTACTCAGCATGTAGGGGATATCATAAATCACAGTAACTGCTTAATAGCATATTCAGTCGGATGAATGAAAGTCAGTATTATAACCTACTGTCATACCTGCAAAGAAACTTTGTGGTGCCTGGCATGATTTCAAGGGTGAAGCACTCCCCTCCATTAACACAGTAGTTCCTCTGGCTGTCACTGCAACGTGTCACATGACTGGAGGTCTTGGCTGTAGTGGTGGTGCTGGTGGCAGCTGCAGAAGATACCCGCAATTAGTGCAGCAAGAAAACGAGACTCAGTATGACTCCAAATGAAAAAATCAAAATGCCCATAGAAACATTGAAAAACACTATGTCACTACATTCTACATTCATATATTCAGTATGTTCCAAACACTCACATTTGTCATCAGCATGGGCTTTGTTCATTTCTTTTTCAAGATTACATCCAAGAACACATGTGAAATGAAAGCCATTCAGCAATACTTTGGTGAAAATAGTATTTGGAGCATGCTGCAGAACTAGGTAAGCATTTTGAAACTTTTTACTGTTATGGGAGTCCAACTCTAACTGTTGTGAATCCAGCCTAACTACAGCTGCCATCCTCCACGAAGAAGCAGGCTATGTGATGAATAAGTGATGATGATGATTAGTGAAGTCAGCATATATATATATATATATATAGTATATATATAAATATATATTATTATATAAAATATGACGCACACATATGCGTATATATATATATATATATATATATATATATATATATATACATTATATATAACATTCCATCTTTACTATAAACGGCACTATGCTCTACTGTCCCATCATTGACCAATAGCTTTTTGGGAAAATATTACACCAAAAATGCAGTTGGGAGTAGGCTACTTTTTCCAGCCCTTAGTAGGGTTTGCAGGTTTTACTATTAAGTAGCCTGAGAGGTGATACTAGTAGGAAAGTCTGCAAAGCGCTGGACACACCACTTGTTGCTGCTCATTAAGAGCATTTCTTTGAGCACACAGTGGGCAACTCAGATAAGTGTATCAATGTTTTTTAAGCCAAAACTCTCATTTAGAGAAATTATTCAACAGGCAATTTAGAGTTTCCAGTTCACCTAGCCTGCAGTAGACTGGGGAATAGACAGTCAGCGCACTGAGATCTGTCATGTTGGTGATATCAGCAACAGCTGACACTCATGTCATGAGGTGAGGCAACAGAGTTTTATATATTTCCCTTGTATTTAACCTATTTCCTGATAAATAACTATCACAGATCAAGGGCAATATTACAGGCGGCAACCTCCTGTTCTGACGAGTGAAGCCAATGCGGAAGTGTCTTAAAACTTGCAATCTCTCTACTAGTCATCAGGGGGTGACTGCTCTGGATGCAAAAAGAAGTCTGATTGTATAGAAGTCAGTAAACATGGTCAAAATGAGTTTATGGTCTCAATCGCTAGTTTCAAGTCTTCTTCAATACAACATGATATTCGTAAATTCTGGTCTATTTAGAGTCTAATGGACCATAAAGCAGGGTATGCTTTAGAGCAGGCTTACTGTGATTGACAGGTTGCTGCCGTTACCAGAGCTTTGTACGGCGTCTCTACGTCACTCCTCTGCATTCCAAATATGTTAACTTTCGTTCACTGTTTGCAAACTATTTTCATCACTTGAAGATCTAGACTATGCAGATGATCTCTCTCTTCTTTCACATACTCATCGACACATGCAGGAAAAAACATCCCGCCTCAGTGATTTTGGTCAGAAGATTGGCCTGAAGATCAGCAAAAAGAAAACAGAAGTGATGACTCTGAACATTCCCAATCCCTCACCAATTCAGGTTAACGGAGAAGATCTCCCTAAAACTGACGAGTTCACATATTCGGGCAACACTGTCAGACACGATGGGGGCACAGATAAAGACATCAATAATCGTCTTAATAAGGCAAGGAAGGCTTTCAAAGTACTGAATAACATATGGAGGTCACAGCAGTACACCATCAAGACCAAACTTAAATTGTATCAGACCTGTGTTTTATCCACCCTATTGTATAGTTCTGAATGCTGGAGAATGACACAAGAAGACCTCAAGAGACTATCAACCTTCCACACCAAGAGTTTAAAACGAATACTTCACGTTTTCTGGCCAAACACCATTTCAAATAAAGAACTGTATGACAAATGCCAACAAGAATGCATGGAGACCATCCTAATGAGAAGAAGATGGGGATGGATAGGACATGTGTTGAGAAAAGATCCTGCTGATATTACAAGAACAGCCTTACATTGGACACCAGAAGGGAAAAGAAAAAGAGGCCGACCAAGAACCACATGGAGAAGAACTGTGGAGAAGGAGATGCAGAGCCTAAACCACTCATGGGGCACCATCCAGCAACTCGCCCAGGACAGACAGGAGTGGAAGACTTTTGTTGCTGCCCTACATGCCAAGAGGCATAAATGGAAATTAAATGATGACTGTTTGCAAAAAGCCAAGAAGGCGACGGCCGTAATCCAAGATGGCAACGGCCAAATCAAGGAACTCAAGGCTTCAAAACGGCAGTCCACAAACCAATGGGTAACATAACAATGACTACATCCACTTCTTATAAACAGTCTATGCTTGTGCCCCTCTTTTCATTCTACAATGAATCACTTTCATGAGTGCATTTCAGATAAACCACGTGATTAGTGAAAATCTATTCCTCAAAAAAAAAGTGAAGTAAGCCTCAAGGAGGTGACTAGGTACAGTGAGTATGATATTGCCTTCATATAAAGGTATTATATTAGTGTTACACAGCACATTTTAGCATTGCAACCAGCAGGTAACTAATAATACAATGAATGATATAAGAAAAAAGATTGTGCAGCTGAGTAGTTCCATTCCAGACTTTATTAAACATGAACTCTTTATGACAGCATTTCAATACATGCTGGAGCTCCAATAAATAAATAAAGATGTGAATAGTGAATAGTTTGGTGTGTCAGCTTCACTTAAAAAATGTAATGCATTCATTTGTTTTGGATCATTTTTGACACTTGAGAATAAGTAGTTTAGAGAGGGAAATTGGCGTACATCCGCTAACCGTTGTTATAGGCCATTCTCGGAATAGCTGGTTCTATTTCATTCTTCCTGACCGTCAGATGGCAGTGCTTTAGCTACCAATATCTCCATCTTGCATATGTGCAGGTTGAGTCATTATATCAACAAAGTCCCCTGTGACATTGCAATGACCCAGTACAAAACCCTCACATCATCATGTAATCTGTTTCTTCTATCGCCTCGCAATTGAGGATACTGATAGCTGGTCAATTTGGCTCATCTCCTGTAGCTTCGTAACCTGAGGGTTGGTGCTTGGTTTTTTCCCCAACCAGAGGCTGCAGCAAGCTGTAATATTTTTCAAGCTTATTTATCTGGGTTTTTTGGGGGACGGACAGTGGTAATCTCGTCATTATGGTTCGTGCTGAACTACTGCTGGACAGGTGAGTAGCTGTTATGATGTGGTGTATTCATGGACCCTAATGCAGACTCAGGACAGCAGAGTTCTATTTCAAACCAAGATCATTTATTTCTCTCAGTCAGGGGAAAAAACAGGAAATGGTTAAAGTCAATAGGAGGCGTCTCCACGCGCTCCGCACGGGTCCAAGCCGGAAAGTGGCTAGTCCGCGTCCGCGGCTGCCAGGCAGGCTGGATCAACTGTGATACCCGGGGCTCGACACAGGATTGCCAAGACTTCACAGTTGATCTCCGAAAAACAAACTGGAAGACTTCTTCGTGCAGGTGAAAACCCGAGGCTCGACAGTGGACGGCAGGTAAGTTGAAAACAAAAATGGATAGTTAGTGGTGGAATCTCACAGAGTGAACAAACGGACAACTCACGGCTCGGAATAGCAGGTTGGTAAACGGACGGACTGACAACTGGAATGAGAGTGACAGGAGTATTTATGTCAGCTGGAGATGATCACAGGAGATGAGGCACAGCTGTGCCCATGGAGAGAGGCAGGGCAGAGGGCGGGACTCGTAGGAGGACACTACTGAGGGAAATACAGCAGAATTAGACATAAATCCTCACAGTAGCCCAGCGCCTTTTGGGATTGACCCACTTCATGACATGTACATGGTCATGAACCTGCCTGTCTGGGAAATGAACACCTCAGGGCAGACGTATCCGACGACCCTTGAATGAACTGTAGTTTTATGCCACTGTCAGTAAGAATGGCTAGACTTGCAGATATAGGTGGCGATACTGGGCTGTCGCCTGCTAGTGTGATTGCAGACCTAACCACATCAATGAAGCTCAGGTCAGTCTCACCTCATCCATCAAAAAAAGTAGGGAAGGTTGATGCTTTGGTTCCAAGGTTGGCAGTCTCCATCTCCAGCCTGATAATAAGGGACCAGCTCCCTGCAGCCACAGCCCTCTGCCTTTTCAGTCCCTCTTTCTAAGCCCTATATTAAATTGTTCTCCCATCACACTATTGTATCTATAATTCTTTTTCTCACCATCTTGTGTGGACTCCCCTGCCCAGACTGTTAGTGATGCATCCCTGCAGGCTTTTGCTTTAATATCTAGAGAGCTTGAATGGTTGATGTCAACGGTGACAGTGGCATGCCGCCAGATCTGGCTAGCGCAGTCCTTTCTGTCTGAGGGGTGTCATTGCATCCTCCATTCACTTCCAGTGCTGGGCATGCTGACAGCTGCGTCCATGGTTGTCCCTCTGTGTCTTCTTTCTTTACGTCCCCTTCAAATCTGGGTCAACAGGCTTTACCAGGATTGCAATTGGCACCGGGGAAGGAACTTCAGGGAGTTTGTATTTTGATGCCGGACATTGAAGCCTTGGAGGAGAAAACCCCCTTGGTATATCTTAGGGGCAATCCCTTCCTGCCGAAAAGTTGTGGAGACAAACGCCTCTCTATTGGGCTGGGGTGCAGTATATATAATATATAATAATATATCTGGCACTGTGACGTTTTCTCCCAGGACTGAACGGCTGGCATGTTCGCATCCGGACAGACAGCACCTCGATAGTATATCATATCAATCATCAGGGAGGTACCATTTCCAGGCAGGGTCTGCACGTGTCACAACAGCTACTTACGTGGGCATTTCCCCACTTCCTGAAGCCATTCATCTCCCAGGGGCACAGAACATTGCAGCAGATCTGCTGTCCTGCCAAGGGCCGCCAAAAGTAGATTGGAGACTCCATCCAGATGTAGTTGGATTGATTTGGAGCCAGCATGGCAGATCGGAGGTGGATGTCTTTGCCTAAGAGACATCAACAAATTGTCCCCTCTATTACTCCCTAATGGAGAGGACCACTCCTCTGGGGCAGGATGCCTTAGCTCATTCTTTGCCAGCCTGCCCTATATATGCCTTCCCTCCAATTCCACTCATTCGGGTGACGCTGGACTGAGTCCAACAAGGGCCACAAACTACTGCTAATAGCTCCAAACTGGCCTCTCACTGGCCATGGTTTCCAGTGCTTCTGAAACTGCTCAGTGGAGAGCCATGGCACCTCCCAAGAAAACCAGACCTCTCTCAGCTAGAGGGACTGTGTGTGCACACAATGCTGTGTGTTTGGCCATTGGAAGCCAGGACCCAGTCTTGCGTTTCCTGAAGTCATTGTTGGATGGCGTTAGATTTGAATGGACCTTGAAAGT